TAGGCCATCCAAGATTGTTGTCACTTGTATTGACTAGGAGATACTGAAACCTTGGGATGAAGCCTTTAAAAAGGGATAAGCTTAGAGTGCCAATGAATAAAAAAATGCAATTTATATTTTACCATCATAAGCCAACTTTTGTGTCAAGTTACTTAAATAGACCTCTACAAATCAAAAATTTGGTAGTTGTCTAGAAAACCCCACTTGACATCTCTCCTTAATCTTCTTATATAGCCTTCCCAAACAAACATAGCTATGCTTAATTTCATATATGAATCAAATCCCCTCCATAGAGTTGACATAAGTTCAACTATAGCTTTTATTGAGATGAGAAATAACAAATTTCCTTTATTATCTCTTTCTATTTTTATATCTCATTTCTATTCTTAGCTCTTTCTATCTTTTGTCCCCTTCCTATTTTTAGCTCTTTATACTTTTATCCCTTATTTTATTCTTAGCTCTTTCTATAATTTCCCTTTTTAAGAAAACAATGGTAATGCTTGCTCAAGAATTAGATGATTAGTTTCGACATCAAAAAAATTTGAAATGAGATTTACTATTTTGTTTATTTTATTGTTAACAATAGCAGTAGTGCCAATTATGTTTCTTCATATATGGTTCTAAAAATGGGGTTGAAGACTAAGAAACTCCCTCATCCATATGAATTTCGTTAGATTAAAGATTCTTTCGAATTAAATGTCACATAAACTTGTTTCTTGAATGTTTTAGTAGGTGCATATTTTGATTAATTTTTGCCATATGTTTTATCAAAATAGATGAAATTTTTATCATTGCAAGATTCCTTTAGATGGATATGCCTTTTATCAAAATAGAATTAAATTTATTTTTTGCTCTCCCAAAAGTAGTAACTTTTCGAAAATAAAGATAGAAAGGAAAGAAGGCACATCTACTTGTTTCTTTTCTTCTTAGATCTATGTTTATTCTTTTCATAATACTCAATGTAATCTGCTGTATCATTTATTGGAATACTTCTTCTCACTGAGCTTGGCAATTGAAATAGATCTAAAGGAATTTTTGGAGGAAATTGTAAGCTATAAGAGAGAAGACTGGTTAGTTGGGCAAATCAGGATCTACTCCTCTTTGTGTTTGTGAGAGGCCCAAAACAAAGCCCAATGAAATGTCAGCCCATGAGAATTTTTGAATTAGTAGTAGTGTGTAAAAACTGATATTTTGGCATTGTCTTTTATTGGCCTAGCAAATCTGACACTTTTTTCAGACTTTTTTTCAACATCCTTGTTTATCTAAGGCCAATGATATCATCCTTTGACCAAAAATAAGGTCTTATCATAACAAAGATGTCCTCCTAATCCTCCAAAGTGTAATTTTCGAAATTAGTTGTTCTCATAAAGAACTTTAGGGAATGCATAATTGTGTTTCTTGAAATTAAAAATCATATAATAGATGAAAACCCTTAGTTGAAATAATTAAATTTCTTGGTACAGCACCTTGAAATAATTAAATCTAATAACTTTAGTATGAAGGTTAATCAAACATGTTATTTTCCTACTAAGAACCTCTACAGCATGATTCAATTTTCAATATTTATGCTTGATAACAAAAGTCTTGGATGAAAGGAAACTAACTGGACATACATTCGATTAACAGAACTCTAACTTCTATTTTTGTTGACATCATAATGTTTTTCTCTATAAAAGGCTATAAGACAACCTCTAGCCTAAGTATTAATGTAGCCAATGAATCTTATCAAGAGAAAGACACATTTTGACCCAAGTACAGAAAACTAGTAGGATATGCATCTAGGGAGCTGAAAGGTATTAATTTCACGCTCAAATAGAGTACAAGCTTAGTTTCAACCTAATTCAAGTGTACTAGAGGCCCAAAGATGAGTGAGGACACATTTTGCCCAAATTTAGTTCTAAATGGCCAAATGAGAGATTTTGACATATGTTAAATTTGTCAAAATTCAATTCCATATTTATTATTTATCACATTTGTTTTATTTCAAATGATCTCCATATTCTAGTTAGGATGCTCCTACTCTTTAATGCATTCTAACATAATTGTCCTTTTCCTAGGGGCATTCTTATTGCTGGCATGCCTTTCTAGTTTTATCCAATTGGGTCAAAAAAATTTCATCATTCTCTTGACAGGATTTCATGGGCTAAATTAGTCTATTTTACTTGAAGAAAACTCATCTTGAGTGTATACTTGTCAATTCATATATATGACCAAAATTTAATGCATGCAATTGTTAAGATATAGTAAGTGGCAAAGTCAATACTTCTAAATGTGTTATTTCTGTGAACAATTTTTTTATATTTAGGTCAATACTATTGGAGTATACTTAAGTTTATTTTTGTGAATCAGACTTATTCAGTTCAATATGGGTATAGTCTAGTTGTATCATTGGGGATTGGTATAAATAATCTAATCCTACATCATTTGAACCTAAGAACAAAATATTAGGATTTAGCCTGATTTTGTATTTCCTCTTCTCCATTTATTGTTGTAGTGACTGTGGAGTTTTGAGGAGATCAAGTAGAGTTTGTGACATTGTCAACATCGATAGGTTTCAAATCCTTGGATTTTTTATTTGCCACTTAGTACACCATTCATTAGTTAATGATCTAATATTTTTGATTTAACTAATTATTAGTACAAATTTTGTTTTTTCTCATGCCATTTACAATTTCATCAAATCTGTGAACAAGACTTTGAATTGATTCAACATCTTCCATTCAAAATAATTCATACCTATTCACCAAAATGTCAAGTTTGATGTTCTTCACTTGAGAGGCTATTTTATATGTTACCTTCATCTTATCTCATATTTCATTTTTTATCTCACAACTTGAAACACAATTAAATTCAAATTCATTCATCACACTAATCAAGATAATCATCACACTAAAAAGGTTAAACTCATACTTTGCTCATCTATAGACTCTTTTGATCTTCCTTACAGTCCATCTTAAAACATGGGTTGGATGATTTGGCTGTTTCATTAGCTCAATGATCTACTCCTTGAGATGTGTTAATCTCCCTTTATCAAAATTTACTCTAATATCAGATATTATAACTATATGGCTACAGGAAATTGTTGGGAGGATGAATTGGATTTCTAACCTTTTTAGCTATTTGTAGCTAATTATCTATATGAGATATTGCTAGATGTGTTGACACGTGTGTAACTCTCTCTCTCTCTCTCTCTCTCTCTCTCTCTCTCTCTCTCTCTCTCTCTCTCTCTCTCTCTCTCTCATCAAGATTTTTATATTGGTTCACCCTTCACCCAACTATATTCAGCTCTGAAATAGTTCTACTAGTGTTTCACTATTTCGCTCAAGAAATACACATTGACATTCATAGGCTCAGCCACCCAATTACTCAAGTTCATCTCTATATAGACTCCACCCTTTTAGGGCCAAAATAGGCGAAAAGCACCTCATGCTTTCACCCAGCAATCTCTCCCCTCACCATTCAGTTATCTTAGGCCATGATGGAAAGCATTTCCCTTCAAATTGGATGTCATTAGGGTTGACAAAATTTAATGTAGATAAAGATGCAGGTTTATGTTCATTGTTGATACACACAACATGAAGAGCTTTGGATTCTCATTTGGATATTCTTCTAAAGAGTTGTTTTTCATTTCTCAATACCCTCCTTATATATTGGCAGTTGTCCTTTAATAGTTTCTTGCTTTGATATGGTCCCAAACATTTGGGAAACTCATTCAAAAGCTTATCATTTTTTGAAACATGTGGTAACAACCTTTGATCCTTCTACACTTAAAACCTTTCAATTTCTCATCTACTTGATTTTCAATTTGAACTAGACCTTCTTAAATGATGACAAACAACTTTTCTTGTTAGAAGCAAAGCCAAATAATAGTGTTACTATAGAGTTTTCTTCCATACAAATTGATGATGCATCATTGTCTAGTTGCTAAGTTCAAGACTTGTTTGTCTAGTTGCTAAGTTATACACGTGAGAGTGTAAGTTATCCACATGAGTGCATATAAAAAACTGTCTAAGTCCATTTAGGAAGACTAGATGCTGCATTTCAAGGTTAATTTAAATATATAAATAAAAATAATGTAATGATCATGAATTACTGATATCAATTTAACCATGTATATCTCCTTTTATTAAAAGGTGATTGTTGGACATATATTGATCAATGATCAAATGTTGTTATCATAAAGAATATTTAGAGATCAAATATTAACACTTTGGATTCAATTATTAGTTATAGAATCACAAAATTTGTAAATATAATTCATATGATATCATATTGAACATTGATAAATCTTCATTATCATGAGTTAATAATTATTAAATAATATAGTTTTAGCCTTAACTCATGATAAATAGACTTATATTTGTGTTAAAGTGTGAAAAGTGGTTTTTAGTTGATTAACATGAATTTTTGGATAATTATGTGATTTTATATGATTTTTACAATCTTACTTTTGAGATAAATAAAAAATAAGAAATACAAATAAAATATTGCAAAATGGGGGAACCCGCCGGCCAGCCAAGCCCGCAAGTAGGTTGGAAGCAGGTTAGAAGCACAGTCGGAGAGTAGCCATGAGCAGGGGCTTGAGCAGCTTGGCTTGGACCGATAGGGGCACGTGTGCGTCACTCTCCTTCAATGTCACCAGTGGCCAGCTAGCTATGGGGCAAGGAATGGTCGTACACGTGAGAGAAGAGACTTGCTTAGAAAGCTAACATTACTATATATTTGCCCGAAAAATTGGCGCACAACCGTTGTGAGACTAAACCCCCGTCACACTTTCCTCAAAAGAGGCGAATGACCGACGTAGGTCCGAATCCTCTTAGAGTCAAAATTCATATATTTTTATCTAATTATCGCGACTTTCTTGTATATCGCCGGTGAAGGATTAAGCAATGAAAATCGCTCAATCATCGGTGAAAATCTTGTCAATGTGATTCACAGAGCATTGCTACTAAAATTGCTGAACGATTCGCGATAAAAGGATCGCGAATCCATCGAGTAAATCATCTCTGATTGATCGACGAACAAGCCGTTGTCAGGAAGAGGACGATCCACCAGGAGACCAATCGCCACCTCCTAAAAGCGTACCAGATGCGATGAAGAGCCACCTCTTGCTGCGCAGACCTGAGGATGAAGCTCCCTGACATGCGCCCCACCTCCATCCAGCTCCTCTCCGTCAGGTGACAGTCGCCGGAGAGCCGCAAACTTGCCATTTTTCCGCTCTGCCGGGTGACAGCCACTAGAGACGATTCAACGACCCACTTCATTGATCTCTAGACTTCGCGAGAAGATCTAGAGATTGCCCACATCGTCTTTGTTTAAGGAGAGCCTTTGAGGCCGTGGACACTACATGACGATCCTCTTGAATGCTCAGGATTCCGATGCATTGCCGATGCATCGCCGTCGTGACGCCGGAACTCTGTTTTCCTGCTTTCAATTTAATTTACGCTTCATTTAGTGATACTTTGTTGATTTTAATTTACCAAACTATACTTCATTCAATTACGATTCTTGTGGCTTTTACAGATCTTAATTTGATTAATTGAGTCGTCTGTAATCGCCTACGTAAGGACTGACGGGCGGAACTCTATTTCCGCCTGATTCGCGTTCACCAGGCGCTGACATCATCCTGACGTCCGCACCCTTATTTCCTTTTTTTTCGTGAATTTTAAATATATTTCCTTTTTATTTCCTAGTATAAAATTTGTAAGAAAATTGTATTCATTGAGAAAAATTCTGAATAATTACCAGATATTACCGCTATTTTTAGAATTTTTATTGAATTATAATTGATATATTTATTTAGAAATACTTCTAAATATCTGAAAATTTATATTTTCTAGTTTTATAAATTTTATATTTGCGTGATTTAATATACAACGACTGAGTCACGTCACTCCTTGACACGTGCCCCACCTCCATCCAACTCCTCTCCGTTAGGTGACAACCACCGAAGAGCCGCAAAGTCACTGTTTTTTCGCTCCACCGGGTGACAACTGTCGAAGATGACTCGACGACCCATTTCATTAATCTCTAGACTTCGCGAGAAGATCTAAAGGTTGCCCACGTCATCTTTGTCCAAGAGAGCCTTCGAGGCCATAGACACTGCACAACGATCCTCTCGAATGCTCAAGATTCCGGTGCATCACCGACGCATACTGTCGTGACGCCAAAACTCTGTTTTCCTACTTTCAACTTACTTTATGCTTCATTTAGTGATAGTTTTTGTGATTTTAATTTACCAAAATATACTTTTTTCTATTACGATTCTTTTGGCTTTTACAGATCTTACTTTGATCAATTAAATTGTTTGTAATTGCTTATGTAAGAATCGTCAGGTGGAACTCTATTTTTGCCCGATTTGTGTTCACCGGGCACTGACGTCATCCTGACGTCCGCACGCTTGTTTCCTTTTTTCTGAATTTTAAATATATTTCCTTTTCATTTGTTTGTATAAAATTCATAGAAAATCTTATTAATTGAGAAAAATTCTGAATAATTACCAAATATTATATTACATCCCTATGATTGACTTGAAAAATTACTGCTATTTTTAGAAGTTTTATTGAATTATAATTGATATATTTATTTAGAAATACTTCTAAATATCTAAAAATTTGTATTTTCTAGTTTTATAAATTTTTGATTTACGTGATTTAATATACAACGACTAAGTCATGTCAAATTTTGGTGCTGTTGCCGGGGATATATTGCATAATATTTAGTATTTTTTTGTTTTTCTCTTAGAGTATACAAAAAAAAATTAACTCTTGTTTTATTTTCTTTTGGCTGATTTTTTTTAGAAAAAGGGAATGAAAAGAAGCAAGGCAAGGACTGGAGAATCTTGAAGGAGGTAACAGTTACTAACTTTTTCCCTCGAATTTATTGATTTTTGTGTATGGTAGAAGATCCTTGTATCCAAGGCTAGAAAATCCTTTCATTATTTCATTCAAAAATAAAAATCCAAAAGAAAAATTAATTTTGATAGATTTTGAAGGAAGTACAGGTCAAACTGAGAACAATCCTATGGTCATGAAAAATCATTATATCCTTGATTCATTTTAAAGAGCATCCAATATTAGAGTCCCATTAGCACCCACTGTTAAATTCAAAATAAATCTAGAAAATTTTCAAATGTTTTCTAATTTTCATGGATTGCCTTTAAAGGAATCTCATCAGCACTTAGAAAAATTTCATATGGTCTGTGATTTAGTTAATCTCCCTCAAGTTACACCAAAAATTATTAAGATGAAATTATTCCCTCATACACTTAGGGACAAAGCTAGTCATTGGCTATCCACATGAAATAGAGAATTAACTAGTTGGAAAGATATAGAATAGGCTTTTCTTCAAAAAATTTATCTCTTAGGAAAAACTCAAAATATGAGAAAACATATATGGAGTTTTTCTCAAAGACTAGGAGAAACTTTGCATGAGACATGAAAAAAATTCAAAGATTTACTTAGAAAGTGTCCTCATCATGCTTTACCCAAGTGGCAACTCAATACAATTTTTTATGATGGATTATTAGAATAACATAGAAATATGGTTGATTCTATATGTGGAGGAGCTTTTATAGAGAAAACTCTTAATGAGATTTATAATTTTTATGAGAATTTAAGTGAAAATTCTAGAGATCAAACCTCTTTTGAATTATATGACAAGGATAAGAAGAGAGGAATTTATGAATTGCATCATGATGATGATTCTAAACTTAAAAATGAGATTAATCAGATTAATCAAAGATTAAAAAAAATTGATTTACTTATTGACAATATTAGAAAGCATTTTAACCCTCAACTTAATTTGAATAGTACATGTCCTATGTATGGTGAAAATGATTATTCTGAATTTCAATGTTATAATTTAGATCAATCATTTAATCCTATGCAAGAACAACCGCAAGTAGCTCACAATTTTAATAGAAACAGAAAACCTTTTTCAAATTCTTATAATCTTAATTGGAGGAATAATTTTTCATGGAGAGACCCAAATAATATTCAAAATCTAGAAACACTTAGAACCAATTCAAACTCTGAATTTCGTCGAAAACAAGAAAACAAATTTCAAAAAAATCAGTCCTCTCAAATCCAACCTAATGCTATGAAAATGATGCAGCAAATGAGCCAAATGATGCAACAAACTATGAATCAAATGATGCTGCACTTGAAATAAATTATAGAGGCTCTTGGGAATAAGAGAGAAGAGAGACAGTTACCTAGTCAGCCCATAGAAAATCTAGGGAATCGCCCAACAATAGGATTTCAACAAGGGGAGTCTAGTAGCATGAATCTAGGAAAAAACCCACAAAATGAAAATGTTAGGACAGTGAATGCATTAAGGAGTGGTAAGATCTTACCTGATCCTTATCCCCAAACATTAGAAGAAAAAGAAAACGTGGACAAACCAAAATAAAATCAAATAGAAGTAGAAGAGGATTTTATAGATTCTACCAAGGAAATTTTGAAAGAGAGGACGACCATTCTATTTCCTAAAGCTCTAGAATCTAGACAAAGAAAGAAAAAGAAACACAATAAAGAAATAAATTTTTTTTTACAAGATATATAAATTAGTCTTTCTTTACTCACTACCATTGAACATATTTCTAAATATGCTAGAGTTTTGAAAGAAATGTGTACACCAAAAAGGGCAACTAGAGTAGAAAAATTATCTATGCATGCTAGTGCATTATTATTAAATCAATTACCATATAAATTGAGAGATACAAGTACCCCTTTACTTTCGTGTGATATTGGTAGATTCATTTTTCAGAATGCATTACTTGACACTAGTGATAGTATTAATTTATTATCTATAAGTATTTGTGATAAATTTAATATTTCTGATCTTAAACCTTCTACTGTTACCTTACAATTTGCTAATAGATCCACAAAACATCCTAAAGATACTTTAGAAAATGTGATAGTGATAGTTAAAGGGTGTAAATTTCCAACTAATTTTGTAGTGCTAGAAATAGATTTTAATGGACAGTTTTATGATATGCCAATCATCCTAGGAGACCATTTTTGCATATAGCAAAGATGAATATTGATTTTCCCACAGGTATTGTGAAAATTTTATATAGAGATCAATCAATAGAAATTAAAAATTTTGAGGTATCAAATGATCTTAAGAAATCCTAAGTATATGATTGTCATATCATAGATCTTCTAGATGATTTTGATGATCTAGATGTTATTGATGACTGTGTGTTAGAAGAATTAGAAGAAATAGAGAATATAAATTTAGAAGAAAAGAAAGAGGAAGATCATCTGAATTTAGAGTTGAAACCTCTTTCTTCTAGTTTAAAATATATGTTTTTGGAGGAAAATAATTTATTTCCTATTATTATTGCAGCTGATTTGAGTGATAAACAAGAAGAAGAATTATTAAATGTACTTCAAAAGAATAAGAAGGCTATGGGCTAGAAAATGAATGATCTAAGGGGCATTGATATGAGTATATGCATCCATAGTATATATCTAGAGGAGGGGCTAAAACTAGTAAGGAATCACAACGAAGATTAAATTCTAACATGATGGAAATTGTAAAAAAAGAAATTTTAAAGTGGCTGACTACTGATATTATTTATCCTATTTCAGATAATAAATTGGTTAGTCCTACACAAGTGGTGCCAAAAAAATCAGGGATCACAGTTATAAAAAACAAAAATGGGGATGAAATACAACTAAGATTAACTACTGGTAGGAGGGTTTGCATTGATTATAAAAAATTAACTTCAGTTACTAGAAAAAATCATTTTCCTTTACCATTTACTAATCAAATTCTAGAAAAATTAGCTAGAAAAAACTTTTTTTATTTTCTAGATGGATACTCTAGTTATAATCAAATTTATATAAACCCTTTAGATCAAGAAAAACCAACTTTCACTTGTCCATTTGGTACTTTTGCTTTTAAACACATGCCTTTTAGTCTGTGTAATGCTCTAGCCACATTTCAAAGATATATGCTATTTATTTTTTCTAATATAATTGAAAAATGCATGGAGATTTTTATGGACGATTTTTCTATTTTGGTGAATCATTTGATGAATGCTTAAATCATTTACAGCATGTACTTGAAAAATACATCAAGAAAAAATTAGTTTTGAGTTAGGAGAAATCACATTTTATGGTTAAAGAGGGAGTTATGTTGAGTCGTATTGTGAGTGAAAGGGGTTTAGAGGTAGATAGAGCAAAAATTGATATTATATCTAAAATGAAACCTCCAAATTCAGTAAAACATATTAGATCTTTCTTGGGTCATGCAAGTTATTATAGAAAATTTATTTAGGATTTTTCAAAAATTTCTAAACCTCTCACCATGCTATTATCTAAAGATATGCCTTTTAATTTTGATGAGAAATGTTTTGAGTCTTCTTCCGAAATAAAAAGATTACTTACTAAGGCACCCATTTTACAAGCTTCTGATTGGTCCCTTCCCTTTGAAATAATGTGTGATGCATCAAATTATTTAGTGGGGGCTATTTTAGGACAAACAAAAGAGTCAAAATCTATCGTAATTTTATATGCTAGTAAAACTATATCCGATACTCAATTAAATTATACCACGACTAAAAAAGAGTTGTTAGCTGTAGTATTTTCATTAGAAAGGTTTATATCATATATTTTGAGAGCTAAAATTATTATTTATACTGATTATGCAGCATTAAAATATTTGTTAAATAAGAAAGATGCAAAGCCACGTTTATTAAGATGGATTCTATTGTTGCAGGAATTTGACTTAGAAATAAAAGATAAAAAAGATTTTGAGAATGTTGTTGCTAACCATCTTTTTACAAGATGTATTTCTAGATGAACAATTGACGATAGATTAACATCAACCATCACCATGGTATGCACATATTATTAATTTTCTAGTTTTTGGAAAAACTCTAGAACAGTGAGATAAGAACAGAAAACATCATTTCTTTTCTAAAATTAGAAATTATTTTTGGCATGATCCTGATTTATATTACTTAGACAATGATCAAATTTTAAGGAGATGTGTTCCTAAAGAAGA